GACACACGCTTCGAAGCCTCGGCTCATCTCATAACATCTCTAATTAAGATTATTCTGTTTTCTGTGATTGCAGCATTTTTCCTGTACAGAATTTTCCTTGTTTTATGTTTTTTTTTTTGTGTTCTGCGTTTTGAGCTGCGATTTTGCACCTGTAATTAGTACTTTTTTTAACTAAAACATAAAACATACTACTTAAATGTTTTGCAATGTAAATGTATCTTCATGTAGGGATTTAGAGTAGATTTAATTAAATCAAAGGTCTACATCATATATAAATAAATCCTTCAAAAGAAGTCATTTTCCATGTCACCCAACTCTAACTGTAACAGTCAGACTTTAGACTTAGAATCAAGTTTATTGGCAAGTAGGTTTGCACTTACAAGGAATTTGACTTGGTGTTTATGGTGCAGACATATTTTATTTATATATATATATATATATATATATATATATATATATATATAATACAGAATCTATTGCTATATACAATATACTATATACAATAAATAGTATATAATGCAGGAGGTCTGGAGATGCTATGTTGGTGTAGCTTGTTGGTCCTGAACAGGGGAGGGAGAGAGGCAGTGTCAGTGTCACTGGGGTCTCTGGGCCTTGTTGATAAGGCTGGTAGTGGATGGGAAGAAACTGTTGTTGTGGCGTGAGGTTTTGGCCCTGATGGACTGCAACTTTCTACCAGTGGAAAGTGTCTGAAATAGTTTATAGCTTGGATGTGAGCCAGAAGCTATTTATAATCTATAGTCTCAAGTAACTATATAATAAATTAAAAATTAATCAAAGAAAGGCAATCAAATCTCAAATTGTTTTTTCATCTCTTTTATAACAAAGTGTTAAAATACTGTGACCTAATAAATGACAAGACTTACTTGCCTTTTATATGTAAAAAAAAATAAATTTGTCTATCGATTTTTGTATAAACTTAAGAACATCAGAAATAGTAATTCCTCTTTTTAATTCCTGGGTAACTGTGAGGATTACCTCATCCCTATTGTTGTGTCTTTTAAAGTCTCTTCACAGTTCTCATTGAGTAATTTTATCTAACTCGGTATTGTAAGCTGACTTATCAGTAATAGGTAACCTATTGCAGCACATTTCATTACATCTGCCAAATAGACACCTTACCAAAGTTCAGAGATTATGATCTTAAAGTTCAGAAAGATGTCCTGATTATGAGATTCTGATTATGAAAACAAGATAAGATCTGCTTGGTACCAGACAATAATCTTCTAAATATGGGATAACTGAGAGATGACATTTATAGACATTGGCAGAGAATGCATTTTTGATGCATGAAGCTTCCCACCTGAGTACAAAGGGGGTTTTTCGCCTGTACAACCACAGGGTTTTAAGATGCCTGCACAGTGTACGTAGACATATTATTGCCTTCCGCATTAAGAAAAATCAATGCCTAACAGTGTCTCATCCATAAGAGGAAAATAAGCTTGTCAAATCCAATTGCAATCCACATTTTCTGTTGCCTAACCCCAGGTCAGTGTAGACTGTCCTTCACTTTTCTCATTATTTCGAGTTTTTTATATAAATATAAGATCCTAATCTAAATAAAATAAGAATTTCATCATTACAAATTAAGACTTCATATCGACAACATCTTTTCTTGCAACTGTGGCATCTTTTCTCGTACTTTTGACATTGTAGGTTGTGATTATGTCATTTTCTCATGAGGGAGATAAGGTGTCTATTTTGTGAAAGTAGGGCGCTTTCTTGCTAACAGGCCTGAAGTTGGTAAAATTTTAATTTAGATTCTAAATCAATGAGTCCCTGGCTGTTGCAAGTCCAGCTGAATATCAATCTTTTCCAAGACTGCAAATATTTCTGAGGACTGCTCGAGCTAAGCTTATAGCTGTGTATGAGTAAAAGGGAAATCTAACATTAGGCATGGAAGACAGCCTTTGGCATAGAAACTAAGGTATAATTGCTGTTTCATATTTGCAAGCACTGGGGAAACAGGTTGATTCCCTCCCATTGATGGCGGTGGGGGACTCAGGCACCCCTGTGGTGCCTCTGGACACCATAATTGGCTGTGAGAAAGAAATAGATTTTCAAAATCTCTCTTGTTACCATGAATAATTCATATCGATGCCCAAAAGAATACCTCTGTGTTGCTGCATACATAATCACACGTTTTCCTAGTCTGAAGCTTACGTGCTTTGAGTGCATGTTGATGTAAGCATGCACATTTGTGAGAATGATCTACAAGAAGGGATGTTTGTAACAGAGGAGAAAAAAAATAGGACCCTGCTAGAAAGGCATAGGACATTTTTATTCCATGTTGCAGTGACAGTTTTTAATGTCTAATCTACTTTTCTCTGTGCAGATTGGGACCCTGGAGGAGATGCCAAAAGATGCCACTAAAATTAGTGTAAGCAACATCTTTTAGCTGAAACGTTGTGATTAGGAGAGGATTTTTTCCTTCAATCTTTTTGCAACAGCAACCTTCAGGGTTTTTTATTGGAATAGACAGAAAATAATGCCAAATTGTGAAGAGGGAGGATTTTTGGTGTCTGATTCTTTAAAATCTTTCTATTTATAGAAAAGGATGTGAAATATGCCTGAGTTAATACTAATGTTCTCTACAGTTACTGGTATTTCTCCATACCGGCTTTTCATATGTAGATTTTTAACTTTTTTGGCACAGGTCTTTTAGCTGCTTCTCCGATTATTGCTCTCCTTGTTAGCTTTTAGTTTAGGTGGATGGCCATGTCTACGCGGTGTTAGGGACTGTGCCATGGACGAGGCTTTGGATATTTATTAATTAATCCAGTTTTAAGCTTCTCCATAACTTCATCCTAAGCCTGTCTACTGTGGTTCTTCATCTTCATAACACAATCCAATTAACCTGAAAGCCTTGTAAACCTTCCTTTATAGAAAGATAAAACTCTAATAAAACAGAAAATTTGTTGTGTTATTGTAAAATTATTTGGATGCTATACATACTTTTTCAAAAAATTTAAAGCAGCAAAACTTTTGTATTTTCCATATTTTACAAGTTATATGTTTAAAGTCAACTAACCAAATCCTGGGATCCTTTAAAGCGATGCAGTATGTAATCTCTAGCAGTCTTATGTTTAGGACTCACTGTCTCTGTCCTTCACAGGTAGTAAAAGTTGGTGGCAGCAACATCTCCCACAAACTTCGACTCTCCAGTGTGAAACCAGCAGATGAAGGCACCTACGAGTGTCATGTCATTGACTACAGTGGACCCGTGGAACAGCGCTACCATGTCCAGGCCTATCTCCAAGTTGAGCCTGAGAGGCTTCAGGACTCTGATGATGCTCAGCCACAGAAACTAGAGCAACACTCATCAGGGAGTCAATTACAGCAGACCAATGGTCGCGATCTGAGCAAGAGATCTGTTCACAGCAACACTGACTGCAGGGGGCGCTGTGTGCTTTAGAGCGAACGTTTTGTCTGTCTGCATGTACTTTGGTCTCCTCCCCTAAGAGGGGCTTTCAATAGAGTAGCTATTACCATCCTGATGACAAATCAGCTGCGTCCAAAATCATCAACTTAGTAAGGACTCTTTATCCAAAGGGGAAGTGAATTAGCGTTCACCATGATAAATCCTGAATAGGGTTGGAAGAAGTTAGGGAAAGGAATCGGTATGCTTCCTATCCTAGTTCCTTTAGCATAGGGAGCCTGTGAGGTCCCTCACTGGGGCTAAGGAGGTAAAGGGATTCCCAAAAATCATTTGCCTGACGTACATGAGCACAGCCTGCCTCATGGAAATGAATGAGAGAAGAGATCCTGCACCAGTACTGTTTACAGTGATTATTGCTTTACAGTAAGCACACTCGGTGTGACACACAGTCATATAAGGATGTATTGTGGAGAACTTAATTCGTTTGCTACATTTGGGTAACTCCTCCTCCATCATGCTTTTTCTTTGCATGATGATGTGCCTAAGGTTAAAGGCTGTCAGCGGTCTGAGCATACCTTCCTACCCATGGTAGACATCTTGATGTCTGCCGCATGAAAGGTGAAGGAAAAGGAGATAGAAGCCACAGTTTGATGATTTTGGACACAGCTGCAGTTTCTGGACAGGGACTCTGTATATAATATTTTGATTTTTTGCTTGGAATACTCTCTTGTTGAATGTTATTTAGAGGGCTCTGTGTACCAGTGCATTTTTATTAATATTGTTCTAATTTTGTTATTTTTGTGTGTTTTATGCTGTTTCTTTAAACTTATGTGAACTGTAATGGCAAAGAGTAAGTAAGGTGAGCTTATTTTGTTGGTTTTGCCAAAGATTATTTGTATGATTACAGGCTATACAGTTATTAGATACCAGGGATTCACAAAACTTTGATAGAAATACACATGACAACTTTCTTTAAATACTCTGTCATCTAATCAAACCAAACCTTTCCTGTTTATACGTAGATTGGAATTAATTTGCCTGTTACAAGAGATATGAGCAACATATTTATTAAACCTTTCAAATAAAAGTTTCCAATTTTAAATGGTTTTGTATTAATTAGAATTGCCATATAAACTACAGGTCTTGGGTCGATGGTTTTAACCTTTCTACCACCTGCTACTCAAAACTTCTAGCAAGAATTTTGGCCTATCCCTCCTAAAACTGCAACTCTCCTCAGTTAAAAATGTTCCCCCAGAAAAATGAAACAAAGACAAATCCAAACAAGAAGGTGGGATGTCCGAAGAGACCCTGAGAGGTGGGGCTGAATGAGGGGATGAGCAGTTCGGGTTTATCAAGGGTGTGGTCAGGATGAGAGCTTAGCATGGCCTACCTTAGCCTAACCTGGCCTTATTCAATAATGGACAGTGAGCAGAGGGTTGCTCCTTCTTATACCTGGGATAGATCTTTTGAGTTGGAAGATTTTTCACCTCCCTCCAACTTGGAGCCTTAGTTGAAGCTGCTTGCTTCAAGGCACTGACTTGGCAATGCAAAAGCCGGTGCTGATGAGGCATTTAAGGACATGATGACTTTATTTGTAGGCCTGTGCTTATGCAGAGCGTTGACAGTTAAAGCCTCTACAAGTAGCAAAATCCATTAACAGCATTTATCGTTTGCACCAATAGTATAACTGAACTGGAATAGTCACTGTTCAGCCACTTAGGGTGGCAACAAGATGGGTTTGAGGCAAATATTGTAGAAGTAAAAAAACACTTAACAGGCTTACATTGAAGGCAAACTGACTTTCGCTCACTTTTTTCAAAAACATTCCATCATCTATCCAGAGATCCCTATCAGTTCTTTCAGCTCACACAAAAGCAACCTGCAGTTTGAGTGCTGATGTATTTAAGCACCATTGAGGTCCATCTTTCTATGCACATTCCAAGTTAGATGCAAATAAAAGACCCACCCGCTGTTCTCCTGGGTTGTTGGAGACTTTTTTTTTTTTTTATATGGGTTGTGTGTGTGGCCATTTCAGTCAGGATAAGTGAGCTTATGTAATCTCTGGAATGAGTTTCAGGACCAAATTGTGAAATATTGTAAGCTGAAACCTCAATTCTCCCCCGATATTCAGTGACAGCTTTTCCCTTTTATCAAAGATGGCTTCTTTTACACCTTCTTTTATGGCTTCTTTTTACACCATCTTTCCTCTCTATAGAAAATCTTTTCGGTCGTCAAATGTGTGTCTTTTTTTTAAGGTCCAAGAGTATAGTTAAATCTTGCCAAGAAGTGCTGGCTCTCCTATGCTGCATGATGTAGTTGTGTCTTTATTTGGTTTCTCCAGTACCTTCATGATAACTGAACCTATCATCAGGTATGAACCAGATTTATGGCGGTCAGCAGTTATATTCAAAAGTCTTTTTTTAAATGTTGCTTTAAAAATAATTCTAATGTGTGCTTCTAGTTAATAAAAATGCTATATATTAACCATTTCAAAGCTTTTATAAGTTAGAACATTATCATTTGGGTTTTCCTAAAATGTTCAGAGGTAAAGATAAATTTATGTAAAGTTCCGATTAAATGTTACATTTCATTATTCTTGCATTTAGCAGAGAAAAAATTTGGAAATCCAAACTGACCAAATTACCTAAAGGTTAGTCGGATCTATGTAAGTGAAAGAAAATGGTTGTGCCTTACAGTGCATGCAAAAACCTGCTTTTTATTATTTCGTGCTGTCTTTGAGTAATGCATTATAAATGATTGGTTATGTAAGATTTATGGATGTTATTCTTCTGGCTATATGAGTTGAATTAAAATTAATTTAGAGAACATTCAGTTCCTGCTATTTGATTCCTTAAAGCCAACTAAAGTGTTTGCTTCCTTTAATCAAAAGACTTGTTCAAGATTTGCTCTGATATGAGCATTCAAAACTGAAGATAGGACTCTATCCACTTTATTCTGGTACTCATGTTATATCTATAATTAACTGTTTATTTGTGTTCCCAGCATAGGAAGGCATGCCAATGTATGTTTTTACTGTGCTGCTGCTTTTTAATCAAGTAAAAATATTATTCAAATTTTTTTTTTTCTCTTCTTTGCATGATTTGAGATCAGTTTTCACAAAATAAACCATGATCTGTTAACTGATCATTCAGAAAACATAGGCCTGAGAGAAGTTCTGTGCTATTTTAATGACTTTGGCTTAAAGACAGAAATTGCACGGACAACCATCTTTATTGAGCAGAAAGGCTACAGTAGATTGGTGGAGAGTGCATACATGCAATCCTATCTGCTTTGCATGGTTTATGTATGCTTTTACTAACATTTACTATACATAAATGAAGTAAAAAAAAAAACATGCATTTCGAAGGTTGTTGCTGCCAGCTCCCGAGCATCACACAACCTCTCCAGACTACTTTTAAACATTGATGAATTCATCTTTCCAACCACCAGATGGCATCAAAACTGCACAAGTACATGCAGGCAATGCAGAAATTGTGCTTAAAATTACTAGAAAAACTGACAAAAATATAATGGAGTGCTGAAATAGCATCTTTTAGCTCATTTGATTTTCATAGGGTATATCCAGAAGGAAACCAGCACTTAACTAGGAACTATACTACAACAGCACATACACCACTAGTGAACACAATCATTAAGAAGATTCTTTATTTATGATGCTTGAAAAAACACCTCACAATGAGGTTTTTCCTTCTATAAAAGGCCTTTGTGTCCGGGTCACAGTGTGAATCAACACTCTATTAAGCTGTATTTTATAGAGGTTAATCTGTTCATATTTTTTCAAATGAACTGGATTTTTATGGAGCTGACTGTAAATGATGTGACGTGTGCACAATGTACAGAGAGAGCAGCAGATTATAAGAAATGGTGCCTCCACTACTTTCATGTGACATGCTAAAGGCGAAGAAACCTTTGTTGATAGATTAACAGAAATACCACTTACAGAGACGCATCGCCACATTAATTTAACATATGTTTATTTCAAGTTAGCTAAAGTTATACAGCTTCAATTGTTCCCCAAATATGATTAAAAATCAGATGCATATTCAGTTCTCATGAAATAAGTTTTATGCAAAAAAGCTACTATCAAGAGTAACATGCTATCTTTGCTTCAGACTATGAAAAAGTACATTGCAGGTTAAAAAGTTTGCACTAATAAATGTGATTAGATAAGATTCATTTTTCAAAACAGGAAGATTAAAATAATTTTATATAAAGTATTTGAGGAGAAAGCAAGAGGAAACAATCTTTTCAGTCTGCAGCACGAAAAAATGCTGCTTGTGCTTTGATTAATATATTTAGATGCATAGACAGTTATGAAAAATGGACTAAAAATGTTTCCATCTTTAAATCTATAAAATTATTATTTTCCAATAATGACATTCCTGTAGCCCTTGACATGACACAACTTGTTGCTGTCAAAGTCGACGACCAGTTTTCTTAACCCAGAATGGGTCGGGGTAAAGTAGATTTTAACTTTGGCATCTTCCCCTGGTCCCACTGTGCAGCCCAGCCTGTAAGGTAAACATTTAAATGTCACTTCACTGAAGGTTTTATCATGGAACTCAGATTGCATAAACATTTCAAAGACAAAAGGCTATAAACAGATAAATCGTTTCTGTGATGGAGGGGATGCAGAGCTGCAAATTTCCTGTCAGCAAAAAATTATCTAAAATCATCTTTGTTTCTTCCACAACCTGTTGCTGTCATGTATTCCAGTTGCACATCTGGGTGTTGCAAAGCAAAGGGGAATTCTTTATAAACATTAAAAAAGCAATTACTTCCATCAAACACAGCGATGACTGTTTTAGTTTAGTGGAATTTTGATATTACTTAATCTATGATATATGCAAAAAGAAAGCAGTTAAAGGATAGCTGTAAACAACCTCTCAGAGATGATGTTGCCTCCAGTCAGGTTGGCTCCCTCAATGCTGAAGCAGCAGTTATCCAGCGGCTCTGGTAGAGGGTTCTGAAGGGTAATTTCTGCAGCCAGCTTCCGGTTCTCCTTTGGTTCACCGAGGATCTAAGGGGACAATCATTACAAGATGGATTAAAACAAAAAGAAAAACTCATGTGATGCATTTGGTGGCAGATCAGAACAGTTGTCTTTGGTTCAGTCAAATGGATGATTAGCTTGTTTTCGACACAGATCAAGGTGGATAAGTCCAGCTTTATTTTACTTGAAAACATACAGCCCATTCTAAGGAGAAAAATTATTTAAGACAATAATGTCTCTGTGACCACAAAGCTGGGCTACTATTACGCACATAATTTAGGTTAGAGTAGAACATCTGCAGATGGTGCAAAAACTCTGCTTTAAATGTTCTAACACAGATATGACTCAATGTATTTCATCAGTTTTGAACTGACCTCACAGACTGCACATCCATCTAAGGATCCATTTTAAGTTTCTTTAATATTTTTCAGTCTTACAGTAAATGTCCTTCCCCCGTTCTACGTCTCTTGAGTTTTTACAGCCCTGCGTGACACCTCTTCCCTTTAGGTCAGCTGACTTATTGCTCTTGTCAGTACCAAGAACCGGGCGCAAGCTCAGATTACTCCTACTAAGTAAACAGAGTCTGCCTTTAGTTAGATCAAAGCGTTTGGACATTTCAATCTGGAAGTCTATAACTTGACACCTTCATGAAAATGGTGAATGAGTGACAGGACTTAAAGGTTAATGTTAACACATGGTTTCCATCCTATCTTAATGAGCAAAAGTGGTCAAAACATAATGTGAAAAACTCAGGGTTTGATCTTCAAAGAATGCAAATAGACTGCACATGCAAACAGTTTTTGCAGCTTGGAAATAGTGGTCTTGTGTGTAATCTACTAAAATGGTTGTGCAAATGTTAAGACGTGCAAACTGGTGTGGTTCTGCCAATGAAAATGAGAAGGTTGTATCTTCTACAAGCAGTTTAAGAGTAGCAGTAAAAGAAAGATGAGGTCCTAAGCCATGGAGTTGGAAGAGATGTTTACAATAAATATTTAAAAAATAAAGATGATAATACTAAATATCATATAATGTATTTCACATAGGTAGTCTTTATCAAAGTGGTATGAAAAAAAGTAAACATTAAATGAAGAAAATGATTAAAGTTTAAGTTAAATACTAAGGATAAAATGTAAAACATGGGAAAGTTGTCTCTGTCTGTTGATTAAGTTATTGAGAAGGTAAGTCCAAAACAATAAACATAACTTTGCTACATGCAGAGCCTGTTTAAAAACACAGAGAGAAAATAAAATCCCTCCTGCCACGATTAGAAATGTCCCTACAGGCTAGGCATTTTTTTTTTTTTATAAATGTGCAATATTTGAATTAGGTAATGTTTTGTTTTTCATTTTGGCTTAATTATAAACAAGTTCCTTCTTAATCTCCACAATGGCTGCACAATCGTTTTGCATATGACTTTGCTCCTGACTTTTAAAATTTGCTTTAAAAAAAAGTTATAAAAACAGCTGCAACAGTTTGGGTTTTTACATTTGAAAAATTACCTTGCTTTATGTATCCTACACCAATAATTTTGGCCATTAGACCAAAATCTTGACAAGCATTGAGTCCTCATCCTTCCAATCACAATTTAGCAATGTGTTTTGTTAATTTATCATATAAATGTACAATTAAAAATGTATTATGAGGTAGCAATAATACTGTAAAGCATTGTATAATTGATGGCAAAATTTACATCCACTGTAAGACTAGTAAAGAATTAAACCTGCAAGCTGTACTATTTTAACAATTTAAACAGGGGAACTGTAAAATGTTTATCTGCAGAAGGTGATGAAGAAGATATCGGAGACAAAGAGCAGCAGAAATGTAGCGTTTTAAATCAAGGTGGATGTTTGGATAACAATTGTTTAAGAAGTCAGAAAGGCAAAGCATAAATTAGCAGAACTTAATGCACTACTTCAGATCGTGTTTATGAACTTTATAATATCTTCCACAGCTCCACAGTCTGTGTATATTTATGTAAGCACAGTACTTCTGGGCAATCAAACTGCATGCCTGATATTTAGCAGGATATTTACTGTAGTTTCTGGCTCTGTCATTGCCAGGTCGAACTTTAACCAGTGTAGAGATGAATATTTACTATTTAGCTATTATTATTTTACTTAATCTCTTTAGCTCCTGACTCCGAACACATTCAATGATATCTTAAAATGACCCTTAAACATTTCTGCTTGACTGACTTCACAGTCATGAACACCTATGTTCTTAAAAAACGACCTTTCATTTGAAGTGCTTAGAAAATAAATTTACTTTTGCCGATTTCCACAATACCACCACATATTACAGGTTTTGTTCTATTTAGCTAACTAATAGAACAAAACATAAAAACAACAAACAGCCCATAACTAAAAGAATTGTGAAAAATAATGCATATATTTACAAGTGATAATCTGCAGTGTGCCATACAGTACATTTGCATTAAGTCTGCTTTACTCAACTCCTCCTAAATTAATTGGCACTGTAGCCAATTACTTTAACAAATGAAATAAATACAAAATAAAGTACAGCTGTTTGTTATTAATCCATTTTCCATCACACTTTATCCCTTCTGGGGTTGTGAGGGGTGCTGGTGCCTATCTCCAGCTGTCTACAGACGAGAGGCAGGCTACACCCTGGACAGGTGTCCAGTCCATCACAGATACAAACAGGACAAACAACCATTCAAGCACACTAAGGAGAATTTAGAGAAGCCAATTAACCTAACAATCATGTTTTTTTTAACTGTGGGAGGAATCCGGAGTACCCGGAGACAACCCACGCATGCACAGGGAGAACGTGCAAACTCCATGCAAAAATACCCAAGACTCCGAATCGAACTCAGGACCTTCTTGCTGAAAGGCAGCAGTGCTACCCAGTACTTCACTGAGCAGCCCCTGCTTGTTTTTATTCTCATCAAAATGGTCATATCTTATCTATCGTCTTTGGCAATGTAGCCTACAATGTTTAACCAGAAAGCTAATGTTGAGAA